TTCCCTTCCCACGTCCATTCCTCTCAGTTCTCTGGTGGACGTTCCCTTCCCGCGCCCGGTCCCCTCAGTTCTCTGGTGGACGTTCCCTTCCCACGCCCGGTCCCCTCGGTTCTCAGGTGGACGTTCCCTTCCTATGCCCAGTCCCCTCGGTTCTCTGATGGACGTTTCTCCTGAGTGTACCATGTCTTCCCCCTAACCTGTCATCATCCTAAACACTCCCTCTTAGAGCATTTACGGTGATGTACTGCTCTTTCTGGGTCCTCACCATAAACCAGTGAGGATGAATGTGGTGACGTGTCCATGATGTTTCTTTATACTCTCTCTATTCAAGAAAACGTGGATGGCCAGCCATTTTTCTTCTGTTTTTTAAGCAAATTATTTACTCTAGAAAACGACATGTAACATTACATAATGGCTCTCCTGTGGAGTTTATATTAATGGAACTTTACCTGTTGGTTTCCACCGTTGTGCTAAAAGAACAATATAATTGCATTCTCTTAGTTTTATGATGTCTTGGGGTTAAGCAGCTATTTTAAGAAATGGATAAGAGGAATAAATAATGAATTGTTTTTTTATTTGTAAAAGGGAATACATTTGAAAGTGTTCCTTGACTGCTCACTTGTCTTTGAAAGGTGATTGCGGTTTTGCTCGAAGAGGATCGAGTGGCCACTGAGCCCAGCTGGAACCCCAGGGCGCAGGACAACACCCTGCATTTCAGTGATAGTTCCTCTCAGTTGAACACTAGCCTGCCATTCCTTCAGAGTAAGAGGCCATCCTTGAATCTGTTTTTAAATCTAATACTAAACGTTTATGTTGAAATAATGATCTTTATATTATGTCCTATGTTAATGTGATGGGGTTTATTGAATATAGAACAGAGCGAGATTCAGCCTCTGCAGAACTTTCAAGTACAATGTTAGTTTTCTTAAATGTGCATGTTAAAATTATGAAGCACACTCTCATAAGATGATTAGAAGAGGGACATGTAGTAATTTAAATGAATGAGAATATATATATATTTTTTTAAATTTTATTTATTTATTTTTTCTCCCAAAGCCCCAGTAGATAGTTGTACGTCATAGCTGCACATCCTTCTAGTTGCTGTATGTGGGACATGGCCTCAGCATGGCCGGAGAAGCGGTGCGTCCGTGGGTGCCCGGGATCCGAACCCAGGCCACCAGCAGCGGAGCGCGCGCACTTAACCGCTAAGCCACGGGGCTGGCCTAATGAATGAGAATATTTAAATGAATGCAAATTGAGGTTTTATATATATGTTTTAGTTCTGTTTCTTTTTCAGTTCAGTTATTCAGTTTCTTTTGATTTCTTGGAATAGAGAAACAGTGGGAGCAGCCTGAGAGGGTGTTTAGGTGAAGGTTGTATGATTAACTTAGTTATAGGGTGAGTAACAAGCTCAACTTTTCACTTAGATCTTCTTAGATTTTAAGTTAATCCATGGTTATAGAACACAAAATGCTGAACAAGTGAAGCCAGTGTTATCAGACATAAAGCGTGATTGCATGTAATCATTTAAATCAGTTTAAAGAAGCTGTATTTGCATGACCAAATTTAAATTTCTTAAGCTGGGGACCTCTTTGCTTTAAAGAAAAGTGGTTGAGCCAGCCCTGGTGGCCTAGTGGTTAAAGTTTGGCGCTCTCTGCTTTGGTGGCTCGGGTTCAGTTCCCCAGGCTCAGAACCACACTCATCTGTCAGTAGCCATGCTGTGGCGGCAACTCACATAGAAGAACTAGAAGAACCTACAACTAGAATATACGGCTATATACTGGGGCTTTGGGGAGGGAAAAAAAAAAGAGGAGAAGGTTGGCAACAGATGTTAGCGCAGGGAAAATCTTTCCCAGGGCAAAAAGGAAAACCTTTAAAGTGGCTGGTGGGGTAGTGGGTTCATCTGTGGTCCTGATCTGTGTGAAGAAGGCGGAGGAACACGAGTGAGCCCTGTGGTTGACTTCGCCTGGTGTTCCCGGGCCTGTGCGAAGTCAAGGCATTGATGCCACTTGTGCTAGAAGTTTCTTCTGTCTTGACTGCTATATAGAGTTTTAGATTCATATACGTTACCCTGCATTTAACATTGAGAAAAATGGAATTGTTAATTTAAAAAAAATCTCATGTTCTTTGAGAGTATTTTCGTTTTTAAAGGACAAGAGTTATTTTATTAGAAAAATAGTAAATCATTGTATCGGTAGCATTCAAAACACAGACATCCACATTCCCACACCCACCCCACCTTGAGAAATGGGAATTAAAGACGTACTTTTTTCTCTAAGAGCTGGTGAGTGATGCTGCTTTACAGAACTGCAGGAAGTTGGATAATATACGTGTCTAGAATCTTTTATAAGAGACAAATGATGTGTGTGTGTTCCACATGTGAACAGAATGGAGGTTTTTCTTGTTTGTTTTTGTGTTTTAGTAAAATGAATTTTGAGGTCATAGAAGGAAAATGAGAGCAGACTGACAGGTGTCCGAGAGAGTGAGTGTTTCGTCTCACCTGGTGAACCTGAGTCTTAGTCCCATTACTCCCAATCTGTGCTCAGAAGGACTGACACTCCAGCCCTCGCAGAACCTACCCAATGCCGTCATCACTGTGAAAACAGACACAGCAGAACGATACAGCTAGCGCTGGCCTGCTCCCTCCTTCTTTGTTCCATTGTTCGACAAATACTCAGCGAGTGTCTGCTGTGTCCCAGGCACTGCTGGGATTCAGCAGTGGACAGACAGACAGACAGAAATCCTGCCCTTCTGGTGGGTCAAACAGACTAAAAACTGGCTACACAAGTGAAATGTACAGTGTGTCAGAAGGGGTAAGTTCTAAGGAGAAAAGTGAAGTGGAGAAGGAACAGGAAGTGTTGTGGCAGAGGATAAGGCCTTGCTGCATGAGAGCCTTGCGGCTGAAGGTCTCCACAAGGCACCTATGGACACGTCTGGATGTCGTGACTCCAGATCACGTTCAGGCAGCTTGGTGTTTGTGGGAGTAGCTAGTAGACGGGAGAGAAAGCCTGTTGTCCTGGCTGCATTGTACTAAATTTGAAGGATTGTTTTTTAGCAAAACTGTGAGGCCAACTTGGGCAGTCTTCAGGTAGAGCTGAGGCCATTTGTCGAAACCCAGATTTCAGGCATGTGCAGCTTTGAAAGGACCATGTTTGTTTCTTCATTAAGCTGAAATCCATTAGAATGTTCTAAAGTGTATTAATTTAACATGGATTCTGGCAGATCACTAAAATGCAGAAATATTTTTCTTATTTTATCCCTAGATCGAAAAGTGACCTGCCTGCATGCCTCCCAGGTTCAGAGGCAGACAGTGGTGTCTGTTCACGGTCTGCCTGGAAAGGCCTTTGCCCCCATGCTGGACAGCAGACATGTGCTCTGTGTGTGGGATATCTGGCAGCCTTCAGGGCCTCAGAAGGTCCTGATATGTGAGTCGAAGGTACAACTCGGGGACAGTCACAGGTGTGACGAGAGGAAGGGTGGGCGGTACGGGGGGCTCCGTGTCAGGGCCAGCGACGCAGGAGGATGGAAAGGTACGTGGTCATTTCTCTTCCCAGGCACCATCAGCCGTTTCTGTGCAGGTGTGACAAGGCACATGCATGTGTCTGTTTTGACTCTGGAAATTCTTAGTTCAAGGATCAGCTCAGACCGAGGAGCCCAGGGTTGTCACAGCCTCTTAGGTCCGTTGGGAGTTAGGTGTCAGTGTAGCTAGAGGCTTAATGAAAACGTTGGCCACCCTGGGCACGATCTGGGGTCCCAGAAGTATACCTTTTGGCTCGCACTGTTTGGGTCATGGATATTTAGAGGTTTAATGTGCTTGAGGTTTTCAGAGTCCTGAGTCTCATGCATTTTCCGGCCCCTGGTTCACGGGGCCGTGGTTTGATGTCCACAGAAATACAGTGTGGGGGCTGTCTTACTAGGTTTGCTTCATGTTTGTGTTTTCCTATGCATGTGCTCCTTGACCTCAAAACCATTGATCTCCACCAATTCTGTGGAGAAGAATAACTTTTATGGGTGTCAGCTTTTGGGGCTTTGAAATAATAACTTTTTGAGATATAGAACGTAAATAAAAGGAGAAAGGATGGCTTTGCCATTCTAGGCCTGGCTAGTCGGGTTAATGGAGGGCTTGTGGTGCACACTTCGTGTGCCCGGCTGTGTGCGAGGCGCTCGTGTTTGTGACCAGTGCTGCAGGGTCGGCTCATCATCCCTACTTTCCGCTTGAGGAAGCTGACACTCAGGCCCTTCTGACTGTGTCCCACAGCTTCCAGGTGGAAGGTCCCTGGGCCTGTGGGGAATGGAGAGGGCCACGCCTCTTGAACACGGCTCGTGTGTTTTCAGTCTCTAGCTTCCTCGAGAAATATGTGTCTTTCTAGGTCACGTGTTGCTGCTTTAGCCCTTTTAAAGCCTTTTTGCTGTTTGCTGGAACAATGCACGGCTCAGTCGTTGTGTGGGATCTGAGAGAAGACTCGAGGATACATCAGTACGTGAAGCTGAGTGATTGCTTCTGGACGTTCAGAACATCAACATTTTCCACCGGTCAGTGACAGCTGCCTGCCGATCAGGTGTCTTCTAGAAAAGCCGTGACAGGTTTCAGGAATGTCTGAAATTCCTTTGCATTTATTCATTCAGGTTACCCCAGAGGATAGAGTCTGATCTATGAGCACAGGAGCGATTGATAAATAGAAAAAACAAAATTCCATCCAGGTGATGCTTAGCCAGTGGCCAACAATGATTGGAATGTTCTGTCTTGTTAAATTTGTGGGTTCCAAATCCCAATGAAATAACTTGTAGTTTTAAATTAGCTTACGGCAGATTGGTATGGGTGCACTCCCGTGGCTTAGTTAACTTCACTAACGCGTGAAGTAGAAGGACCGTTAGTCTCCTCTTGGGGGATGAAAGGAACCAGAACAACTGGACCTGCCAGGATCCTTAGTTAGACTCACGTGAATGCTTCATGCCATGCAGCTGCAACCACAACCACCACAGCTACAACCACAACAACAATCACAACCGCAACCATAACCACCACGACATCCACAACCACAACAACCGCAGTCACAACCACCACAGCAGCAGTGACAACTACAACAGCAGTCCCAACCACCTCAACCACAACTGCAACAACCACACCACCGCAACCATAACCACAACCACTACCGCCGTGCTGCAGTCGCCACCACTGTAGCCGCCACCACCACAACAGGAATCACAACCACCACAGCCACCAGAACCACAATCACAAGTGCAACCACAACATCCACAGCTACAACTGCAACCTCAACAACTCCCGGCCCAACCCCTGCCCAGGTGGGCACTCAGTGTGCTGGGGCTTACTCCCAGCGTTTTGTGAACATACATCCCTGCTGCCCAGGGAGATGAGCGTCTTGTCCATGGCCTGCTCAGACCCGACTGTCCTCACTCCGTCTTTCTCTCTGTTCCACCCACGCTTGGTTGTGTGTCTCCCCTCTCCCACAGGCCAGGTTGGTTTTCTGTCTCTAGAGTTTTACTTTTTCCAGATGTCAAATAAGTGGAGTCACGCAGACCGTGGCGCCTCTGCGTCTGGCTTCTTTCACTCGCATCACGTGTTTGCAGCTCATCTGTGCTGTTGTGCGTGTCAGCGGTTCAGTCTTCCTCTGCTGTGCAGTATTCTACTGTACAGACCAGGTTTGTGTGTCCATCCACCGGGTGGTGGACACTGGTTATTTCCAGTGGTTGGCGATTATAAGCAGAGCCTGCCTCAAGGGCCTGTATCACATGCTGATACCACTTTGCACTCCCAGCCACTGTGAGCTCCCGGTGCTCTGCCTCCTCACCTGCACGTGTGCCACGTGCCAGCTGTTCGGCCGTTCTGACAGGCGTGTAGTGGTCTCTCGTGGTTTCAGTTTGCATCTCCCTGATGATATCTGATGTGGAGCATGTTTCCATACACTTATTTGCCATCTGTCTATCTTCTTTGGTGAGGTGTGTGTTCACATCTTTTGCACATTTTTAAATTGATTTGTTGCTTTCTTTTTTTTTTGTTTTTTTGTGAGGAAGATCAGCCCTGAGCTAACATCTGCCAATCCTCCTCTTTTTGCTGAGCAAGACTGGCCCTGTGCTAACGTCTGTGCCCATCTTCCTCCACTTTATATGGGACGCCACCACAGCATGGCTTGAGGCAGTGCTTCGGTGCACGCCTGGGATCTGAACCTGCGAACCCCGGGCTGCCGCAGCAGGGTGCGTGCACTTAACCGCTACGCCACCAGGCCGGCCCCAGATTTCTTGCTTTCTTATTGTTGAGTTTTTTTCCCCCCCAAAGCCCCAGTAGATAGTTGTACGTCATAGTTGCACATCCTTCTAGTTGCTGTATGTGGGACACGGCCTCAGCGTGGCCGGAGAAGTGGTGCGTTGGTGCGCACCCAGGATCTGAACCTGGGCCGCCAGTAGCGGAGCGCGTGCACTTAACTGCTAAGCCACGGGGCCGGCCCATTATTGTTGAGTTTTAAGAGTTCTTTGTGTATTTTGGATAACAGTCCTTTATCAGATGTGTGTTTTGCATACTTTCTTCCCGTCTATGGCTTGTCTCTTCGTTCTCTTAACCAAGTAGCACTTTTTGTGTATGTGTGTGTGAGGAAGACTAGCCCTGAGCTAACATCTGATGCCAATCCTCCTCTTTTTGCTGAGGAAGATTGGCCCTCGGCTAATGTGTGTGCCCATCTTCCTCCACTTTATATGGGATGCTGCCACAGCATGGCTTGACAAGCGGTGTGTCTGTGCGCGCCCGGGATCTGAACCCTGGGCTGCCATAGTGGAGTGCACACTTAACTGCTTGCTCCACTGGGCCGGCCCCCCAAGTAGCACTTTTAAACTTTCTTTTCCTAATCACCCTTCTGTGAAATGTTAATATCACATATATATTGCCTGTCTCTTGAGTATTATATCTATATCTGTGTTTTATATATTAAAAGAACAAGTTTTTTTGTCCCCCAACAACCAATTTTTGCCCCTTTGGGGACGATATGGCTGCTATTGAGAATGTTTGAGTTTATAGGTACCCTATGGGTTTGATGGTATTAGAAAAGATATCTTTTAAAAATGTGCATTTTCTAACTGCTGCTGATGTTACTAATTAGCCTTTGAATTCTCCACCATGTTCAAGACACTAAAACTCTTAAGTTTTTAAACTGTATATACAAATAAATTACTCCATTAAAATATTTCCTTCATTTTCTTTTTTTTCTGAGGAAGACTCTCCCTGAGCTAACATCTGTCCCAAACTTCCTCTATTTTGTATGTGGGTCACTGCCACAGCATTGCCACTGATGAGTGGTGTAGGTCTGTGGCTGGGAACCAAACCCGGGCCGCTGAAGTGGAGCACACTGAACTTAATCACTAGGCCATGGGGCCTGCCCCCTTCCTTCATTTTCTTTTGCCATCTAAGTGTTATCACTAAAACCTACAATTTCAGTGAGCTCCCAGTAGTGAGAGAGCCGTGGAGCTTGTGATGCAAACCACTGAATCAGAAGAGCAGCCTCACACCCAGGGCGAGGCCCCGTCTTCAGTGGCCTCCCTCAGATTCATTGGGTCTGAACTCTGTCATATATTCTTCGTTTCTGAGATGGTTTTGTCTTTTTCTTCAGTTTCTTTGCTGAATTCAACCCCAGCTCTGATTTTATTTCTTGCTGTTTTTCTATCCACTTCTGTTCTGGGTTTCTGATTCCAGGTGTTTTTGTTTGCTTGCTTTAAGTACGTTTCTAGATGCGTTTGAAGGGATGGGAGGCAGTGTGAAGTGTTGAATTTTGGTCTTCTTTTTCGAGCTTGTCTTTTGAGGGGAGAATTTTCATCAGCTGAAATGCTTTGATTTGCATTTTTTGTTTTCTTCTTACAGTAACTTTGTGTGGAATTTGTCTGATTTTTTCTACTCCTGGACATTTTGTAGATGGATATTGTTCTACTAGTTTGTGAAGTATCGTTTCTTTAATGGGTCCTGTTGCTCTGGGTGGTGAGTGGTCGGGGGGCTGGTGAGTCTATCCCCTCCTGAGGCTCCCCTCACTCCCTACCCCTGCGCTGCTGTGTGTGTGCGGCCCCTCATCCTCCGGAAGCAGTGCTATTCTCAGGTTTTCCCTTCTGTCCTGCTTTGCTTTCCCACCCTGTGCATGCCCATAGCTGGTGAATTGCCCACCCGAGTCCTGCCCTGGGAGTTAGATTTTCTCTCTGAGGGTGCTTTGGTCTGGCTTCCGTTCTGTCTTTGCGACTCCCTCTGACCATGCAGAGTCCGGGCCTGTGGCCTCACGAGGATGCGGCAGCTCGTGCGAGTTGGTGCTTTGAGGTCTGTGGTCTCCGTTTCATGGTGATGCTGAGAGTGATGGTCACGGATCGTGCACTTGTGGCCGTGTTGGGAGGATATGTCCCAGGAGCACCCGTGCTTGTCCCTGCATAATGTTGATTGTATTTCTATGACTTGTACTCACATGTGGTGCTGTGTGCTTTAAATCCCAGATGGTATCCTTACGTCAGTAAACCACCGCAGTCCTCTTCAAGCAATAGAACCGGTCTCAACGTCTGTCTACAGAAAACAGAGTTTTGTACTTTCACCCTTTTCTGCTCAGGAAGGTACATGATCCCTCACTTTCTCAAAGTCCTTACATCAAGTTATGAACTGTGGTTTCCCTGTTTACAAGCCGTTTCTTCTTTTTCTGTTTTCCTTAGAAATGTCGGGTTTGTCATTCCACATTGCTTCCTTGGATGAGAGTGGGGTTCTCAACATGTGGGTGAGTAGGATGTGCCTGGGCTCACACAGGGCAGCGCTGTGAATGCATGGGCTCTCTGCTGTGCTGTGTATGCCTAGTCTGGGGCACAAAGACGAGGGACAACGATAGGCTTAGCGGAGACGGGAAAACCAAGAATAAGACTGGGTCTACTGGGGCTCTCCTGTGTGAATTCCTGTGGGCATGAGTAGTGACAACTGCAGCCGAGTCAGGGCCAGAGGACGGGTCGGGAGCCCATGTTTAGAGGATGCGCTGAGGCTGTTGATGCATCCCTGAGTGGAGAGAAATGAGATGTGACAAGAAAGGGATCTTTATTATTTAAAATATGGGCTCTGAAGTTAAGAATCAGTCTTGTTTCTGGAGCAGTGACATTCTTAGTGCCTAATATAGTGTGCAATCGCAGTTAGAGCTACACTTGGCTTAGGTTGTTTCATAATTATAAACTATTAATATTCATTTTCAATATTCTGTTTCTAGGTGGTTGTTGAATTACCAAAGGCAGACATTGCAGGTTCAATGAGTGATTTAGGTAACTATTAAATAAAAAATTAATTTTAGTCATTGTTTGCTAAAATGAATAGAGATTAAAGATACCAACAACAGCTTTAAAAATAAGTAATTAACTACCTGAAAAAAACATTACACTTGTCTATTTTATAACCTTATTGACTGTTGAACAGGCATCTCAGTCAGAGTGACTAAGTGCTGTTCTAGCTGACTGGGTGTTTTCATTTCAGTGAGATCGCATATGCTCTGTTTATATCTGTGTGTCTCCCGTAAGGGACGATGAGCTGGGGATGTGCCTTTTTTGGTGCGTCCTCCTGTCCCATAAGGGACGGTGAGCTCGGGATGTGCCTTTCCCGGGGTAAGGGACGATGAGCTCTGGACTTGCCTTTCCCAGGGCGTCCTCCTGTCCTGTAAGGGATGGTGAGCTTGGGACGTGCCTTTTCCGGTGTGTCCTCCTGTCCCGTAAGGGACGGTGAGCTCGGGACGTGCCTTTTCTGACGCACTCAGAGTCTAGGTCTTGGGCTGTGCTCAGGTGGGCTTTTTCCGTTGGGTTTTGGCACATTACTCACCCCATGTGACTCCCCAAAGATCTCGGATTAGTGTTGGCAAAGGGCACGAATGGTCTGGTGTCTGGGGAGCGGAAGTGACTGAGTTATCTGTCACAGTTTGCTGTGTTTGAGGCCACGCAATGTGATTTTCAGTTTCAGAAAGGACTCAGTGATCTTGGAACAGTCCAGTCTGTTGCATCATGAGGTCTGGGTTCACCTCGGTTGCTCCGACCACTCACGTTCTAGGACAGAACCTTCCCTTCACCCTGTTGTGTCGGGTGTGCTCTGGGTACGTCTGGCAAAAAATGTGATGGGAGCAACACTGACTTTGTTCCCAACTTCTCGTAATTCGAGAAGGGCTTTTTGTAGCAGTGGAGCGAACACTGTGTGTGCGGTGAAGTGTCGGTGACGTGACTTGGAAGTCACTGTGGACTCCAACCTCAATAACAGCAAGACGAATTGTTTCGCTGATTTCACGGGCAAACGGTTTTGAGGTGGAGTGACCATTTTTATCAGTGTTTTCTTCAAATAGCATCTGCTTATTTTGAAATGTTTGTACTGTGTGTGTCTGTTGGAGACTTTCAGGTTGCTCCTAGGATCTTGGAAGGTTAGAACAGGACAGGGCCTGGGAGGGTCTCAGTCCCCTCCTCGATGTGGGTTAATGATGGGGCAGGACGCACAGTCAGTCTTAGAGCTGACCCTGCCCTCACTCTGCTTATGCCCCAGACCCAAGAACACCGCAACTTTGAGAGTGCGTCCTGAGGCTGGCTGTGCTGCTCACTTGGGTGGTGACCAAGGCATTTTTTGGGAATTTTTTGGGATGGTGATAGGAATTAAAGAGTCTCTGCCCACAGTTGGTTCATAATCTGCCTGTGGAGACAAAGTCATTTTGCATAAAGATAGTTTGTAGTGTGTATGGGATAGTCACACAACAGAGGTTATAGGGCGGTGTGTATTTCATTGTTAAATGTTGCTGTATAAAAACTCCCTTTATTTGTGAACCACTTATCCAAACTCTGACCATGTTCCAACTTTGCTTTTAGGAAAAGGGGATGACATTCATGCCAGCAAGGAGTGCTGGAAAAGCTCTGGGTGTTAAATGCCCTCAGGAGAGCCTGGGGTGGTTCCAAGCCCTGTTGTGTGTGCCTTAGATTAGTGGCCGGTTGGAGAACTCAGATCGTGGTTAGAACTAATCAGCGTGGTCTTTCCTTCATTCGTTGGTGGAGTGTTCTCCGAATGTGTAGGTGTCATCCTAGGTGCCAGGGAAACAAGGGGAGTGTCGTCTCCTGGGGAGATAGACACGGCCACGTGTCAGGCCACGGCCATTGGTGATGTGATTGCTAGACCGGAAGAAGTGCTTCTCAAGGGCTGAGGGCCCAGTCAGGGGAGACATCCCAAGGAGGTGACAGTTGGGCTGAGACTGTCAGCACTGGAGTGACTCTGGGTGAGCAGTGTGCTGGGGGAGAGGGAGGGCGGCTTCAGATCTGTGAACAGAAGCACTGCACGTTCTCGCATCAGATTTATAACCGTGACGGAGTCCCATCCTGTGTAAGTTGAATTTGTTTATATACTTTTGATTCAGCTACTCCCAATGTTCTAGACAGTATCTTGCCCAGAATTTGGGTTTTAATATATGTAAATTTCTAGGTCCTTCCTTTGCAGTAATTACAAAAAAGGAGGTGATGTGGGCAAAGCCACTGAATGGCCCAGGGGTCAGAAATATGGCCGTAAACCCTCTGGGAAGTCCAGGGGAGGAATCGTAGCTCTGTGCTCAAGAGAAGGGGGAGACATGCTGAGGAGTGGTAAGAAGTGACCGTCCGCTGAGGAGTGCGTGCAACCAGCGTGCTTTCTGCTGCGAGCAGGCAGGTCTCTAGGCGCGACTCCGAGGTTGAGAGGAGGGAGGCCCTGAGTGTTTCTGAGGAGGTGAGACACCAGTGGATATTTACACACAGTGTTTCTGTTGGAACCTAGGGTGCGTTAAATACTGATGGTTTTGCTTAGTGTACTGCCCTTATTTTATCAAATCTGAAAAGGTAAAGGCTTCTGGATCTTGCTTCCACCAGTGCTTTTCCCGTAAGGTTCTGGACTGCAGACTCTTAATTCCTATCGTAAGGCAACAGCAGCCTCACTGCATTGGGAATACGCTTTGTTGATTTATGTTCAGATACTATTTCCTAACAGAGACTTAAGCAGTGAAAAATGATTCCCAGCAACTGTAAATGGATTTTGGTTTAACTTGTATTTAGGGGCATTTATTTCTGGTTTTTCTATTTTTAGGTTTAATACCTGGAGGGAGGATAAAATTAGTGCACAGCGCTGTGATTCAGCTGAGTGACAGGTGAGAGTGCGCCACCTTGAGCCACAGCAATTCCCCTTTCTCACAAAGGCCTTTGTCCCACAAGAGGAAGCCTCGTTGGCTCACTGCGTCTGCAGTGAGTGCCTGGTCAGGTTTGTGTGGAAGAGGTCCAGCTGCTCACGTTGTGTTTTGCTCAATAGTTTATTTGCTGGTTAGTTTATTGTTAATGAGTCGATGTAATACATACAATTGCCAGGTGTAGAGCTACGGTTTTTTCTTTAATTAAAATATTTTCTATCTTATAAATTGGTACTGTTTGACTGTTTTTCATCCAGTTTTAATACAACCCTGAAGTTAAACTTATACAGATAAATTTCAGGAACCAGAAACATTAATATGAAAGTTTTACTCAAAAATTTAGGTTTCTGCTTTTACTCATATAACTTAATATGACGTAAGAATTCTTGTTAAATGTACAAATACTGTTGGTGGTATATATGTTCCATGTTAATTTATTTCCTGAAGATATCTTTTCTTGTCATTTACTACAGTCAGGGGCTGTCAGCATGCGGTTTACCCTTGGAAAAATTTTGGTGTCAGCTTGATTCCTCGTCGTCAGACAGAATACTTCTGGGTTGTATTAATGAATTTGTACATGCTTTGAGATTATAAATCACCTTCAGTTGCTTTAAATATAATTATGGCAAGGAATCAGTTATGTTTAAACAAGTCATCTAATAACATTGCAGAGCAAACCGCAGGTGATTCCTAGGCTGGTCACAGACCCCCTGGTCCTTTGTGCACATGGGTGATTCCTGGGCGAGTGGCAGCCTCATGTAGCTGATGTCAAGTTTTTCCTCCAAATTCCTGGCATTGTCTTCTCTAGACTTATGTATACTAAATGTCCATTCAGACTTTAGTCAGCTGTGTTGAGAGTGTCCTCCATGCCAGGCTTTGCAGCACTGTGGCATGGCGTCCCTTCCCTCAGGGTCCCTGCATGTCAGAGGAATGGAGTTTAGTGGGAGGATGTTTTTAAGGTGATCCCTTGGGATCAGCACCTGGGGAAGGGGGCGAGGCAGCAGACCTGGACTTCGAGGAGGAGGTGAGCTGTGAGCTGTGACACAGGCCCCAGGACAGCCGCCCGGCCACAGGTGCTCTGAGCTGGAACAGCTTTCCAGAGGTGACCTTGCCACGCCTTTATGCCCTCTCTCCCATCAGTCATTGACCGTGGGCATCCCCGGAGAGCATGTGACTTGGATGAAGCACCCCTGGCAGCTGGGGCAACAAGCCCTCATTCACCGTGGTTATGACATGTGTGTGAGGTGCTCTGTTGGGGCATGCACATGGCGTCTGGGAGCTCAGAGGAGAGGATGGGTTGAGGGATAGAGTGAAATGGTGACTTCTTGGAGAGGTGACAGCTAAGATGGGAGCTAGACAAGGAGGGTCCTCCAGTCAGGGGAGCAGCGCACGGGAGGTCCAGAGGCATGAAGACTCGTGACACATTTAGGAAACTGCCAGTAGGTTTGCTGTTGAGAAAGACCAGAACGAGTCAGCGGCCAGACCCTAAAGAGTGTTTGCTGTGCTGGATGGGTTAGACAATTCTCCTGAAGGCAAGAGGGAGCCATTACAGGATTTTAAGGCAGGGAGTGGTGTGTCTTATATGTGGTTAGAAAGATCAACTTGGCCACAGTGTAAGGTTGGAACAGTGGAAGGGAGACTGGAGTCAGGGAGACTGGTTGGGAGGCCGTTGTAGGGATTGATGTGGAAGATGAGGGTGTGAGCCAAGGTGACCAGTGTGGGTTTTAGAGGGTGAGTTTCAGTTAGAGGATGGAATTGGAATAACCTGGAGACTGACTGGTTCTAGGGACAGTCAGAGGGAGGAGTCTGCCTCCAGTACTGGGTACCACGCACAAGATGAGAATAGGTGGGAAGGAGAGGGTTGTGAGGAGTGGGAGGGCCAAGATCTGCTCAGCCTAGGGCGGGCAAGCTTGTGGTGCTCGTGGAGATGACCAGGAGGCTGTTGGCTCCACAGCAGGGATCTCAGCTGGAGGCTCAGATGTGGGAGTCCTCTGCTGACGAGTGACATTTGCAGTCCTGAACGTGGGTGTGAGAAGAGAGTGGCCAGGTTCCTGACTTCTGACTAGGGTAGTGTGGCAGAAGGAGCAGCCGTGGGCCCTCTCCTGCTACAAATAATACACTGTGTAAGGTAAAAAACCAACAATAAAGTAAATAGAGTTTTTAAAGAGAAAGAGAGGAAAATACTAGAACAAGGCTGGAACTTGAAGTCAGCGTGCAAGCTTTTGCGTGGTGTGGGGCTGGGCTGTCGGGCTGTGCTGCTGTAGACCTCTGTGGCTGTGCTGGGCTCGAGCCTGTGCAGGACCAGTGATGCACTGGGCTTGCCTGAGGCAGGGAGCTAGAACTGAGACCTCTGCCAGGACTCTGGGATTTGCTGCCCCTTGGTGAGAGAGAAACTCAGAAAGCCACACCCAAGCCCACGGAAGACAGCGGGGTGTGGAAGACCAAAAATCCCAAACTCTGGGTGTTGTACTCTGGGATCTGCAAGGTGGGAAGTTAGCATCAGAGTCTGAGACCAGTGGCCCCACAGTGGGCTCACCATAAAAACATGGGGACAGCTACCTGGTGGGCAGAATACTTCCACAGGCTGGACTCACAGCGTTCCCACAGGAAGCAGCAGTTGACAAAGGAAAATTACAAAAACTATAAGCATGAGGAGACATCCACCATGATACAAGGAATAGGATCAGCACACCAACAAGTCGAGATAATTATACAACCTAAAAGACATTTTTAGAAGTGAAACTGTTAGCTCTGAAATTTAAAAGTTAGCGAATGGTTAAATAGCAGATTAGACATAGCTGAAGAAGGAATTAGTGAATGGGAGGATAGAGCTGAAGAAATTATCAAGAGCTCAGTAACAGAGAACAAGAGATGGGACACCGAGTGGCCTATTGCATATCTAATGACACATGATAAGTGGTAAATGTGTTATGGGTCATCATTATCCTTACAGTTTCAAAACTATCCATTTGTTCATCTTTGTGATTTTTTTCCAGCCTTTCCCATAAAGGTTATGAATTTTGGGGGTTCACACAAACACTGAATGTTAAATTCCTGCCTTCGGATCCAAATCACTTTATTGTTGGCACAGATGTGGTGAGTGATATTTTAAATTTTGCTCTGTAACTCTTTCTTCTTTCTTGGAGTTGCTTGATAAATATCTTCATTAAAGATTAACTTACTGTTTACTTTTATTAGAATGTTGTTTAAATTATTTCAAGAATAATAGCTTTATCCAACCTTGTACCTAATACTTTTCTTTAGTCACCATTGGTCATCTTCTTACTAGGGTCTCATAAGCCATGGCACCAGACAAGATTTGAGAGTATCTCCCAGATTGTTCAAAGCCCACCAACATGGTATGAGACCAGTGAAAGTGAACGTGATTGATTTTTCACCGTTTGGAGAACCAATATTCTTGGTAAGAAGCACCGTTCCTTTAAAGCATGGTTTCTGTTTGGGCAGCAGGACACCTGCAGACATCCATTTGAGCTGGTCCCTTACTCGTGCACTTCTGTTCCATGACTCCCTCCTCAGCTTTCTGAAGGTCTGTCTGTGCAGTCAGCGCAGATCCTTCCACGGGGCTGTTGAATGGATCTTCTTAAAACTGTTTGTTTTGACATAATTTCGGGCTCATAGAAAAGTTACAAGAAGAGCACAGAGGATTCCTGCCTGCCGCATGGGTCCCCCACATGTCACACATTTAACATATGGCTCCGTGCTCGCTCTCCCTGTGTGGGGATTTTACATGCTTAAATGTCTGAGAGCAAGTTGCAGACCTGATACTCCATCCCTGAATAGTTGAATGTTGGTTTCATAAAGGCAGGACCATTCTCCTGTAGCCACAGTCCAGTCCTAATCGTCAGGAAGTGAGCACTGGAACAATCCTATTACCTCATCTGTAGATCTGATTGAGATTTCACGATTGTCCCAATAGTGTCCTTTATAAGCAAAATAACAACCCAGGTCAGGCATCTCATTCAGTTATTGTGTCTCTTCAGTCTCTCTTGATCTGGGACAGTTCCTCCATCTCTCATGACCTTGACATTTTTCAGGGGCGTAGAACGCTCCTCAGTTTGGGTTTGTGTGAGGTTCTGGTTTTACATTCTGACCTGTGTCTGCTGCTCTCTCCACTGTGGGGTCACCGTGTTTCCCATTATGATTAATGAGCGTTTTGTGGGGAGACAAGTGGACGCTGTGAGAATCTCAGATTCTCCCTTGCTGGTCTTGGCATCCGTCATGATACCGGCCTGCCTCTGTTATTAGGTGATTGGCAAATGGTGGTTTTCTAGTCCCATTGTTCACTCTCTGTTTACTAGTTGGCTGTCCGCTGGTAGGAGGACTGCCTTCTCTGCTGTGTGGGCATGTATGCACCTAGTTCTTCTGTAGATGTGGACATGTGGCTTTTTACTCTGTCCACTCACTGCCTTGTGCATGCTGCTGCTCAGCTTGTCCCAGGGGCGTCCCTTGAGGGGTTCTTGTGTCCTTCTGACATCACTCTCTGAGCCCTTCTTTGCTTTCTGGTGCCATAAGCTTCAGAATCAGCCATTTCTCCAAGGAGTCCTGTCTCCTGTTAGGAGAAAAATATCTAGAAACCAAGATCTGGACAGTGAGAAGTGCTCATGTGGGACACAGCGTTGATACCCACTTCGATGTCTATCTGCGTGTCACGGACTGGGTTCTCACACCCATGTCTCTAATTGCAGGCTGACTCAGGGTTCCCTCTGCCCACCCTGATGGTGGGAATCCTGGCTCCCATTTTCCACAATATGTTTGTTTATTTACTCAATCCTAGACTACCAGAACCTTTTGTGATTGCTAATTCATGCCTCTGCTTTTTTTGAGTATGTGAAATATAAAATATATTGAGTAAAAGGGAATAAAGCTTCTCTTTCTAAGCTAAAAATTTGGTCTTTTACTAAACCAGCAAAGTTTTGTTTTATGGAAATTTGAATCTCAGGGGAATATATAACCACCAATATTATTGGTGCAAATGTATATAAATTTTTTTTAAAGTGGCTTATTTATTTCTATGGAGCCAATCTTAATGGCCTATGCTTGAACCAGTAATATTCAACTTTGTTAAAAATAAATACCTATTTATATACTGACTGAATTCATCGATTATTAGCCATTTTGGGGAGGGGAAGGGGGTGCAAAGTGTATCAGAATCTCCAAGGTGAATGTTCACCTTTGTCATTTGTGAGGACAGATTTAATGTTATAATTTTGTGTCTGGAAAACATGTTACAATTTTATTTCTGCAAAACATTTCCATGTCTGGAAAACCAAATGTTGTTGCTGTACAAAGTGAAGAAAGCTAATGCTCTGAAAAATTTCCCTGGCTGCTGAGATTGAGTAAAAAAGAAAAAAGACCCATGATCAACAGTTTCCACTCCCTCCAGGCCGGCTGCTCTGATGGGAGCATCAGGTTATACCAGCTGACCTCCGAGTGCCCGCTCATGCAGTGGAACGACAGCACGCACGGCCACGCAGTCACCAGCCTGCAGTGGTCCTGGACGCGGCCTGCTGTGTTTCTGGTCCAGGATGACAAGTCCTGTGTTTATATCTGGGACCTCCTTGAAAGTGATTTGGGTCCCGTAGCCAAACAACCCATCTCTCCAGACAGGTAAGTCTGATGAAACCATGATGAGCTCTCACACGTAATTGTTTGCAGAAGCATCCTTGATGGTTGTTCTTACTTAATTTATGCATAAGGTTGCTACACTTTATTTTTTTTAATTTTTATTTTTTTTGTGTGTGAGGAAGATCGGCCCTGAGCTAACATCTGCCAGTCCTCCTCTTTTTGCTGAGGAAG